GAGGGGTCTCCGAGGCCGCTCGCCTTCCCCAGGCGCTGCTCTCTGAAGGGTCCCCGTTTCCCCCCGTTTCCCCGCTCTTAGGGACGGGGCTGGTGGGGCCGCGCGAGCAGGCGGTCCCCGCGGGCTTTGTGAGAGGCAGGGGCCGGCGCGAGGGAAAGGGTTCAGACTATCACTTAAATATTGAGACTGAAAGGGGGCAAAACAAAGGGCGTGCGCTTGAACCTCAGGCTTTCAGCAGAGCTGAGCAGAGTTAGAGTTCACGTACGAAAGGCATCGGAAAATTGACTGGGGGCCACTTATTTGCGCTGCCTCACAGCCGAGCAGGCGAGCTGCGAGCTCAAATATCGACCCCCCAACGCCGTGGCGTGAGCGTGGGCGTCTGGAGTGAGGTTTGGGTGTTAAATCCCCAAGCGGCAGCGAAGCCTTGCCCGTTCAGACGTGAAGCGAAGCAGGGCAGGGCTCTGCGTGGCGGCGCTCAGCCGTCGGCGTGCGCGGGGTTAGGGTAACGTGTCCGGGGATCCGCCCGAGATCAGCGCTGGGGCCGGCGCGCTGCAGGCTTGGAAGCTCCTTGGGATCCTGGGCAGCTGAGCGCTGAGAAAAAGCGCTTGGACGCTTTCTGGCCCAGCTCTGAGCCTGGTTTTGTTTGTCCTTGTTTTTTTTTTTCTGTTGCCGCTTTGCATCGCAGGGGCGGCAGGCCAAAACAAACAACACTTCATTACAAAGAACACGGCCAAGCTCGACCGCGAGACAGAGGAGCTGCACCATGACAGGGTTCCGCTGGAGGTGGGCAAGGTGATCCAGCAGGGCCGGCAGAGCAAGGGCATGACGCAGAAGGACTTGGCCACCGTGAGTATCCCCCGCCGCTCCCGCTCTCCGCGGGCGGGCTTAGGCCCCGCGAGGCGAAGGGGGACGCTTCCCTGTCCCCCCGTGGGCAGGCTCGGTGGGCTGGGTATCACCAGTGGAAATTGGGTGAGCGCAGCGTCTCCGATATCTGATCTCCGGGCCACGTTAGCGATGTGGGGAACGGTGTGGGGGTTTGTCTGCGCAGCCCCTGAACGCCTGCCTGGAGACGGAGCGTTGCTGCGGCTGGTGAGCTGGTAGGAGGGTTTTTTCCCCCCCGCTCCCATCAGCTCGGCACCGATGGGAGGTTTTTTTGTACCATCTGGCAGCGTTCAGAAGCTCCCTGCTGCCTTGTGGAGGTGCTGCGGGAGGCTGAGGGAGGCAGGGGGCTGGCCGGGGGGGGGGGC